GCGAGATACTCTCAGTAGCTTGTGGGGCTCTCTGAGAGGGGCCGAGGAATCGAACTCGGGTTGGCCATGTTGACCACTTGTAAGGCAAACGCCCAACCACTGTGTTAGTGGCGCAATCGGTTAGCTTCTATGTCATGTAAGGTTTTGCCAACTTTTTCCTCAATGTACCTTATAGATTCCGGTCTGATGTTGAGGTCTTTAATCCACTTAGATCTTACTTTTGTACATGGAGTTAGGCAGAGATCTGAGCCCATTTTTTTTGCATGTAGCCGCATGACCACATTCTTAACTTATTATACTTATGGTGCTTTGCTTGTTCCCTTTGATGCCAGAGTAGCTCACAGCTTGCCTTGGGTGAATCCAGTTCCTTCGTTGGGACCTTCCTTTTGGGGGTGTTAGGAACTAAGGGCAACTGAGGCTTAAGTCAGGTAAATATGATGGATGCCCAGGAATAAATATTATTTGAAATCAATTAACTCCCATGTTACAAAGGCATAGCATCAACTGTCTTCCTGTATCTATAAAAAAAGGATATTGCTAAATCATGCAAATCACATAAGGGAAAGAGAAAAGCAATATAGGATTATTAGTACTTGATGGAATTGGGTGTGCCTCAGGGGCACTGTTTTGGGAGTAGCTCAATAAATCTAAACTCCCTGCGAGAGGAGCAAGGACAACCTAATGTTATCCAATAATTCACCATTTCAGAAAACTTTGTCCCATTTCTTGGTTTTGTTATACTTAAGAATGTTCATGGTGAACACATTGACATCTTTTGTTTATAGTGAAATTACTATTTTATTGTTAGTTAAAATTTATTTCTCTCTCTAGTTCTGAAAGTGGAGTTCTATACAGGACACCAACATAGTCAAAAGAAGGCCCTCTTTGGGGTTATAATTTTACCTTTACAAAGAAAAGGTCCCAAGGACCTCTCTGGACCTTCTTTATAAAATCTATTCATTGGGGTTCCGTGGTCATTACTTAAGGTCCTACTTACTACCACCTTTGGTGTAAAGATTTCAACATATAAAGGAATTAGCAATTCTTATTTTATGAATTTCATAACAGAAATTATTTATTTATTTACTTTGGGGGATATTTTTGGCTATACCCAAATGTGTTCAGGGCTCATTCCTGGCTCTGTGCTCAATGATCAATCTTGATGGTATTCAGGACACCATATGTGCTTCTGGGGATTAAACGAGGGTGATTCCTCTGGTCCAGGAATTGATAATTCAGACCCTAGGTAATAGTTATTGTATTTTAAATAGTATGCTAATTGTATGACTTTCACTTGAGAGTAGCAAAAGGGACATTGCATGTATTTATTATAATGAATATACTACTCATTTTAAAGTATACTACTTTGAGTATACTTATTATATATAATGTGTATACTACTCATTTTAAAGTATACTTATTTGAGTATACTCAGTATATATAATTAGTATACTACTCATTAGGTTTACTACTCTGTTAGTTCTCTCTTATAGCAAATTGCTACAAATACAGTAGCTTAAAATAAGACAATTTTATAACTTATGGTTTGACAGTCAGAAGCCATAAATAGAGCTTACTGGGCTGAAATCAAAGCGTAAAAGATCTCCCTTTCTCTAGGAGTCTGAGAGGAAGAAGCTGTTTCTTTACTTTTCCAGTTTTTTTTTAAATTCCTGCATTTCTTGCCACATGGTCTCTTCCTCCTCTTCAAAGCCAACAAGAAAACATCTTCAAATCACTCTCTGACTCCCCTCTTCCTTCTGTTGTCAATTCACTTCTCAGAGAGACATCAACACCATTGCCTTTAAAAGAATTTCAATGATTTTTCTTGCTTATAATCCAAGTTAATTTTCCCTTCTCAAAATGTTTAACCTAATCATATTTACTAAATCCCTTTTGCCATGTATTCACAGGGCCTTAGTACCAGTATATCTCTGGTGGCCTAATATTCTATCAACCACACTCTAAAAATGCAGTATCAAGGTGAGACCCACACTTATAATACAGCCAGGAAGACTGATGTTCCCACTTTCTGTTCTTAGGGCAGGTCGACTTCATCCTTGACCTTGACTTGGACTAAATCAGTGTCTGGAGAAGGTCATCTTAATCCTTGCCTGCTTGAGCCATGAGACCCTGAGGGAAGGCCCTGGTTGTTTCCAGGCCCAAGTTGCCAGGCAGCATGGGTATAGGCATTCATTTGAAGCTCTGCTGGAGAACTCTTTTTTAATCCTTCAAAAATTTTTAATTAATTAAATATTTTTGGCCTCACCCAGTAGTGCTCAGATCTTATGCTTGATTCTGTATTCTGGAGTCACACCTGGGGGGGCGGGGGGGGGGGTGTTTAGTGAGTGAACCATATGCAGTACTGGGAGAGAACGAACTCTGTGCAATTACTCTTTTATTTATTATTTTAATGAATCTAAGAGCTTTTGGTGCTTCCAAATTTGGATATGTTAAATTATTTTTCTCCTGGCATATACCAGAAGTTACTGAGATATTCCTTAGCTTCAGGTCTTAAGTTTTCTGATTTAAAAGAATCATGATGTATAGCCTGACAAAAGAAATTTGATCTGCTTCCAAAAGTCAAAGTAGCTTTAGGAGATGCTCTTTGGTTGAAGACAAAATTTCTAGCACATCTTGATTATTCAGGGAAATTGATGCAAGAATAAATAAAATTAGAGCTATAGAGATAGTACAGCAGGCAGAAGGTTTGCCTTGCATCTGACTAACCCATGTTCAAGTACTGGCGTTGCATATGGTCTCCCAAGCATCACCAGGAGTGATTCCTGAGTGCAGAGCCAGGAGTAAGCCCTGAGTACCACTTGGTGTGGCCCCCAAACAAAAAACAAAAGAATAAATAATATAGCTGTTTTTATAGAGAGGTATTTCTGAGGTGGCCAGCCTGTGCTATGACCTTTAGATATATTTATGATCTCATTTAACACTCACAACAATCCAATGAGGTAGAAATGATCTCTTGGTTTTATTGACATTCTCTCTTAAAGTCACAGTGGTAGACTCAGAATTCAAATACAGGTCTATAGGACTCTGAAACCAGTGGTTGCAAACTACAGTACTCACCGAGATATAGAGCCAGGGATTTTATAACTAGATGCATCTTGGAAATGAAAAACACAGTGGGAGGGAAGGTACAACCACGGCTCTGCAAGTGCCTCTCCCCCAACTTCAGTGAGCATTGGGTGGCTATCAAGAACAGAGGTATATGGTTCAGAGGGGATGTTAGGATTTCTCCTTTAGGATCTCACTCTCATGTGACAAGGACAGAGCATTTTCTTTTTTAAAAAAGTTATTTGGAGGCCATCCAGTGGTGCTCAGGGTGGGCTCCAAGGATCCTATGGGGTATTGAGCATCGAACCTGGGTCAGCCATGTGCAGAACAAATGCCCAACCTGCTGTATATTTCTCTAGCCCTGTATCTTGATATAATCTAGACAGAAGATGTGACTCTGAATAGAACAATAGAAATAAAGGATTTTATACTCGTTTTCATGGGTTTAGAATATTTTTAAAATGTCAATTTTTTGCTATCAATTTTTGCTTTATTTTTTGTTTTTTGTTTTTTTGATTTTTTTCTTCAGTTAAAATTGTTAATTGAGGGGTCAATGAGAAAGTTTAGGGACTAAGGTGCCTGCCTTGCAATCAAGTGACCCTGCGGTTTTTTTTTTTAAAGTAGAAAATTTTATTGGAAATCAGGAAAGAAAAGGAGCTCCCCAAGTGGGGAGGAACTTAGTATAGGACTAAGATTTTTATCCCCAGCAACACATATGCTCCCCTGAGCACATCCAAGAATGGTCCCTGAGCACAGAGCTGCGGGTGCCTTCTGCCAAACAAAGAGCCCCCCAAAACCCATTTGTTTATTGAATTATAACATTAGACATGTTTCTGGGGCATATCATAAGTCAACACTGCATATTCTACCTTTAAGATCCCCTCTTTAAGCACAGTATTTTCCTTGATCACACAATTGACAAATTTGAGTCCATTTTAAAAAAATTGTGTACTTGATTCACCTACTTCCTTCTCTTCTGGTAACAACTAGTTTGTGTTTACAGTCTAAAAGTTTGTTTTTGTTGTATTCATTCACTGAATATATGGTCTCCTGAGTCCTGCCAGGAGTGATCCCTGAACACAGAGTCTGGAGTAAGCCCTGAGTACCTCTGGTTGTGGACAAAAACAAAAACAAAAACGAAAATTCCTGCATTTTTCAGGGATCATTGATTAGAACTGACATTTTCAAGGCCTTCCCTCTCTATCCAGCTTGTATCCAGTTTTCCTACATGTTCAACCATGCACAGAGCAGAGAAGGCCCAGACTTTGGTGGGGGTGAGTGTGGGGGAGTGGGGACTCGTGGGTAGGTAATCAGAGAAGAGGGTCTCGCCCCCTGGAACCTAAATAGTAAGGCCATGTCTATGCCCAATGGGTCAGTTTAACTGCAGCTGCTTTCTAGAAACAGTCCGCCTATGGGGACAGTGTTAGGGGTGTAGTTTATTTGATGAAGGGCAGACCTGCCATTGAGGGGTCCCAGAACAGTAAGTATCTTCTCCTCTCTTCTCTCAGACCATTTCAGCTGTCTGCTTTGGATTGACAGAGGCATCTGGCTGCTAAAAATACACTACTGACCAACTGCTGCCCATTCCAGGGGAAGCTGAACAGGATTGCTGCGACTTCAAGGCTTAACTTTTTGCAGAGAAACGTTTCAAACATTTTCAGGCCCAATCCCAGAAGCACACCAGCCCATGGGCATTTTCTTTTCTGTCAGGTTTGCAGCTGACAGACGAACTGTCCTTTTGCGTGACCCATCTCCAATCCCAGTTAAAGAGGGGGAAGGGGAGGTGAGGGCCCTTTGGGGAGTGGGGGTAGGGAAGGGGAGGTGGCTTGTCCATTTATAGGCTTGCTCTTTGGGATACCGAAGGTGCTGAAATAGCAGCAAGGGACTTGGCTGGATATGTTAAATAGCTCTGCTTCTGCAGGCCTGAGATTACAGTAGGAAGAATGGAGAACGTGGAGGTCTTCACATCGGAGGGCAAAGGCAGGGGTCTGAAGGCCACGAAAGAGTTCTGGGCTTCGGATGTCATCTTTGCTGAGCGTGCCTATTCCGCAGTGGTTTTCGACAGGTATGAAATATGGAGAGCGGCCTCCTTTCCTTCTGTAGGATTGATTCCTGCCAGACTCTGAAATGCTTGGCTTTCATAATCATCAGGAAAAGGGCTTGGGTCCGTATGATAACTTCAAACTACTGAGACATTTGGGACATTATTATTATTATTTATTTGTTATTGTTATTATTATTATTATTTTCTGCAAAGAATTGTTGCCAGTGGGACTGGCGCTGGTCCACAGGAGGGTTATAAGACTTCTGAGCATTTTCTAATATGAACTTGGATGCGTGTGTGGTGAGTGGAAGGTGGGCGTGGTGCTATAGAAACATTTTCTTATGCAACGACCCCTGCTTTTCTTGTATGTTTTTCGATATAATACATACACTAGAAACTGAAATAGTTGCTAAAGCAATTATTTTAAATAGCTTATTTAAAAATAATTTTAAAATAACATTTTTAAATATAGCAATTATAATGCACAAGTAACATTTGAACCCATTTACTTTTGAGAAATTAGACTATCTCTAAGATAAGAATCTTTTACCTTTTCCACCTCCAATCACAACTCCCTCCCCTCCATTTTCTCAAGTAATTCTTGCTGTGATTTTAGTATATTCTTATAGATTGTTCTTGTTTTAGTATATGATATATATTTTTACTTATAAAAAATGTATAGCTTCAGTTTGTCCATTTAAAAAAATAGACATGGTATCATAATTCTGATATCATTCTAGAACTTGCTTTTTAACTAAATATGATTTTAATTTCTCTCATTATGGGGATTATAAATCTGTAAGTACTTCTCTTAAATTCTTGAAGATCTGTTTGTTTTTACCTACAATGGTTATCTATTAATGTCTATTCATAAGCTATAGGAATTACCAGTTTAACAGCTATAAATATTCTACCCTATAAATATGTGAAATTTTATTGATCCATCCCCCTATCAAGAGACATTTGATGGTTTACATAAAAATAACATTCTTGCAATTAAAACTGTTGGCATTGCTCAGTTGTTCAAGTGTGACAGTTTTCTAGGAGACAGAGATAGGGGAATCTCTGTGCCATGGCGCAGGCTGTTTCCCATCCTTGTAGGTTCTCCAAAGTGGTCCTCTTCAAATACGTTCCTATCTCTACACAACCCTGTTCATGCTTGCCCAGTAAAACTTTTAAATAGAACTTAATTTTTTAAAAAATGTTTTATTAGTGAAACACCATACAGTTGTAGATTTACAGATTTTTTTTTACAGATTTACAGGTACAGTTGTAGATTTACAGATTTTTGTGCTTGGGTTTCAGTTATACAATGATCAAGTACTTATCCCTCCACTAGTGCCCTTTCTCCACCACCACTAATCCCAGTATCCCTCCCACCCCCCCATCCCACCCTGCCTCTGTGGCAGGGCACTCCCTTTTGTTCTCTCTCTCCTTTTGGGTGTTGTGGTTTGCAAAAGAGGCATTGAGTGGCAATCCTGTTCAGTCTATAGTCTACTTTCAGCATGCTTCTCCCATCCTAGGAGGATCCTCCCAACACCCTTTATTTAGTGCTTCCTGCTCTATCTGAGCTCCCTTTTCCCCTAGCATGTGTGGCTGGCCTCCGAGCCATGGAGCAAACCTTCTGGTACTAATCTTGGCCACTCTTGGGTGTTCATCTCCTATTTTGCTACTTTATGTTCCCCAGATGAATGCAATCTTCCTATGTCTGTCCCTCTCTTTCTGACTCATTTCGCTTAGCATGATACTTTCCATGTAGTACCACTTGTATGTAAATTTTATGACATCATCCTTTCTAACAGCTACATAGTACTCCATTGTGTAGAAGTACCAAAGTTTCTTTAATCAGTCATCTTTTCTCGGGCATTCAGTTTTTTTCCAGATTCTAGCTATTGTAAACAGTGCTGCAACGAACAAACAAATGCAGATGTCACTTCGACTATACATTTTTGCCTCTCTAGGATATATTCCCAGGAGTGGTATTGCTGGGTCAAATGGGAGCTCAATTTATAATTTTTTGAGAATCGTCCATACTGGTTTCCAAAAGGGCTGAACCAGTTGGAATTCCCACCAGCAGTGAAGGAGTGTCCCTTTCTCACCACATCCGCACAGCACCGGTTGCTTTTGGTCTTTTGGATGTGGGCCAGTCTCTGTGGTGTGAAATGATAATCTCATTGTTGTTTTGATCTGCATCTCCCTGATGATTAATGATGTAGAGCATTTTCTCATGTGCCTTTTAGCCATTCGGATTTCTTCTTTGAGAAAGTTTCTGTTCATTTCATTGCCCCATTTTTTGATGGGGTTGGATGTTTTCTTCTTGTGGAGTTCAACCAGTACCTTATATATCCTTGATATCAACCCCTTGTCGGATGTGTATTCGGTGAATATACTTTCCCATTCTGTAGACTGTCTTTGTATTTTGGTCACTGTTTCTTTTGAGGCGCAAAAGCTTCTTAGTTTAAGATAGTCCCGTTTGTCTATCTCTGTTTTCACTTGCTTGGCCAGTGGCGTGACAATTTCAATAAAGGGAAGAATAGATCACTTGAATGCTGATCCAAAGATGTCTAAGAAGCAATGTCCTTCTCACTGAGTGCAGAGAGAGTGTATCTCCAGATTAGCAGAGGCCATTTGGATTCAGAACATACAGTTTCAGATGGGTCATTCCAACTATGGGCTTAGAGAAAATGGTCATGATTTCATTACAATGTAGTGTTTCTACTGAAATCTAAGATTAAGTGCTATTCGCCACATAACCCATTTACTACCTTTTCCCTGACAATTTCTTTTTTTTATTTTTTAATTTTTATTAGTGAAACACCATAAGGTACAGTTGTAGACTTACAAATTTTTGTGCTTGGGTTTCAATTATACAATGATCAAATACCCATCCCTCCACCAGTGCCCATTATCTACCACCACTAATCCCAGTATCCCTCCCACCCCCATTCCCCCTCATCCCACCCTGCCTCTGTGGCAGGGCACTCCCTTTTGTTCTCTCTCTCCTTTTGGGTGTTGTGTTTTGCAAAAGAGGCATTGAGTGGCAATCCTGTTCAGCCTATAGTCTACTTTCAGCACGCTTCTGCTTCTCCCATCCTATTTACTCCAATCTGTTCATTCATTCATGTATGGGTCTGAGTTTACCTGTGGCTTTTAATCTCTTTAGAGATTTATTTAGGGGTCTCTGAGGCAAGGCCAATAATAGAGTTTACAGGGTGGCACTGGAGTTGTTTCATGGGGATGACTGCCAGTGCATCCATGTGTATTGGGAAGTGGGAGAGGTAGCCCATCCTAACTCTGAGTGAGCTTGTATAGCTGAGTCGTGGGTGTGACTCCCACAAATCTAACTTTTGACCGTTTAATTTCTTGGTAAACTTGTTCCCAAGTTGTTGGGGTCTGACCAGAGGTACAGCAGCAATTTTGGGGTATCAGGAATCTTGAAGGCAACATCAGGCTGCTGATGCAGGTACAGGTTGGTGGCACCATACCCCCATCCACTCCCATTTCAGAGTTGGAAGTAACCACTGAGAATTTCCAGGTGTGGTCCCTAAACCAAAGAAAACAAAAATCTAAAAAACAAAAATACCCAAAATACAAAATGAGGCTTGTGACAGGCCCAGGTTTAAGCACTTCTGGGTATGCTTTCCTCCTCAGCCAAATAATTAATTTAAAAAGATGTTTTGAAAAGGCGATCTACCCAAGTCTGTCATTGCAGAGATCAGAGGCTGTGCTTTCTTAAGGAGTACCTGAGTCTGAGAAGTATCAAAGTTCATTCTCCTTTCATTTTCATATTAACTTCCTACTGAGATTGAGTCACATAGATTCAAAACCTGACTGGGGAGGTAGGGCTGAGTCACCCACAAAAGCCACTTTATTAAAGAGAAACATTTTAATCCATGTCAGTGCATTGCAAAACAGGCTTTCTGTCCTGTTCTTAAAACACATGAGGAAATATTTTATTTTTAGTCAAGCATTGTATTAAATGGAAAGTAATTATTTCAGGGAACCATCTGTGATTCAGGGATTTGAACTGGGCTTGACAGCATGCAAGACAAGAATGTCACCCCCTGTACTATCTCTCTGGTGTCTGGATATGTATATTTAGAAGCATAGCGGTAATAGCTATAATTGCATTCTGGTGAAGCTACTATCTATCCAATCTAACTAGAAAATTTCATTTCTATTTCCCCCAATTTTCCCTATCCTGCTCTGTGCCTGCCCCCAGGGACTTTCCTGGATCTCCCCATTCTCTTCATTGCTTTTTATTCTTGCTGTGATGACCATAGTCATGCATGCCTAGCTGTGATGCTCAGACATTGGTTAGGTGTGGTGCTCACAGGGACCATCAGTCATTTGTGGGCACCAGGGATGACAGACAGCAGAGTCATCAGGCTCTAGCAGTTGAGTGGCTAGGATTGCACTCTACCAAAATGGAGGCACTGAGTTTGAATTCAATACCTGAATGCTATAAGCCACTCAATTATCTTCTGGATCCCTAAATTTTGTAATCTAGTCCTCAGAATTTTTTATTTTGTTTTTGGACCACACTCAATGGTGTGAGGGGTCTATTTCTGACTTTTTCTCCCTTTTTTAAATTAATTTTTAAAAATTAAAATTGCTCGTAAAGGTAAAGGCCCTCCCGTTGATCGTCGATTTGCTCTAGCGGGCCCAGTAACGTCTCCATTGGAGACTTTGTTGTTACTGTGTTTGGCATATCGAATACATCACGGGGAGCTCGAGTGATAGCACAGCGGTAGGGCGTTCGCCTTACAAGCGGCCAACATGGCCAACCCGAGTTCGATTCCTCCGCCCCTCTTGGAGAGCCCGGCAAGCTACCGAGAGTATCTCGCCCGCACGGCAGAGCCTGGCAAGCTCCCCATGACGTATTCGATATGCCAAACACAGTAACAACAAAGTCTCCAATGGAGACGTTACTGGGCCCGCTCGAGCAAATCGACGATCAACGGGAGGGCCTTTACCTTACCTTACCTTAAAATTGCTCGAGCTCGAGCGGGCCCAGTAAC